CATGTAAGAGTTCTATAATATTCATATAACTAGTAGTCACAAGATCATATAATAGTTACTTAAACTTGTCTTATTAAAGTTGAATTACGTTGTATGATAGAATGTTTTATTGCGTTAAACTACGGTGCTGTATAGAACACCAGTTATATAGCCTTATACGATAAAATTGTGATTAACAAAATAAATTCGCTGTAATATCTGCATTATAAAACTGGTAATGTATAATATAACCTCATTTTAAATTAAATGGTATACCTAGTTATTTATGTTGTTATTGTTGTTGTTGCAAAAGTAATATCTACGTACGAGTATACTCAATCACAGCTATTATGAATTCTGGATAAAGTTGGAAAAAAGTTAACAAACGCAATGGTAGTTAGAAAGAGCATGTAAGAAAAAAACTCCTAGAAATTACGGCAAATAATCCCGAGAATTCCCTAGGTTCCCAAAAGCCAATATATGGCCTATGGCCGCCATTATATGAAGCAAAATTAGAAACATCAAAATAAATTGTAAAATGTTATTTTTGAGAACTATTTTGTGATAAGATTCCCACAGTAATAAAGTCTTTAATTAAATTAAAAACAAGAATTTTTGAAAATTTTATTTTATTTTATTGTTTAAATTTATACGTAAGCCTTAATCGAAATTAAAGCCCTTTAATTTTTTGCCAAATACATACCTATAATTTACCGTAAAATTTTCGGTGCAACAAAAATTGTCCCTACTTTTCAAACCCTATTAATGATTTTTTATATTACATATTTGTTGTACCTTCTGGCTCTACCCGCCATTTTCATTGTCGAGTAAAGTCTCCTTTTTAACAATCCACATCCTCTATTCATTTTACGACACGCTTAAAATATAATTTGCTCCTAATATTCTTCGGTAAAAAATAAAATACTCTTTTACCTCGCTAAATGATGTGACCACGTAATTAGTTTAATAATAGTTATAATTAAACTAGTTTTATAATAGTAATATAACGCTGTGTAAAATAGTTGCATAAGAGTTGTATACCCTTTTTATAGAACTTCTATACTACTAAACGGTTGTATAAATGGGCCTTTTTTGGTTGTAAAGCTATCATATTACGGTCTTATAGCACGTTATATGAATTGAGGTATCCTATAAAAATTATCACATAGCTGTTTATACAGCCTTTATAAAATAAAATTTGCTACTTGGGTAGGGCCCCGAAACCGGTAGTGAAAGCAGGTTGATCCACATTATGTCGAACACAGCGTGGAATTAATTTCTATATTAGCAGTTTAAGGCAAAAAACTCTTATATAATTTTATTATATACCTAAAAACTGCAAGAAATTTATTTTCCATTATATAAATTCTTTATATGTTAGGAAAACTTAACTTTACCGCTATTTGTAAATCTTGGAAGCTATCTCACATTCCTTTAGCTTATTTTATGTGAAATATACTTTCAGCAATTTGACGTTCCAGCTCACGACTTTGAAAATACTAGAATTTTGCTAAATTATTATTTTTCAAATTAATGAATTGGAACCAATGAACCCATATGATGGCCTCCCTGATTCCCGGATTTGTTCGTTCTCGAGTTCTGATTTTGGGGATTTTTTAAATAATATGATATACATCCTGGTAACTACAATAGTGTCGAATACCTGAAAAATGGTTTAATAATGCAATCTTTTAGATATTTGCAAACCCATCCCGTTATAATAAATTTCGTTATAAAAAAAAGAAAAATATATTCACAGATTCAGTGGTAACAGTTCAAAAATAAAATATATCAATCCCAAATAAAATTTGAATATGTGTATGACTATTTTAGTAAATACCATTTTAATTTTTTTGTTATTTATCACGGCCTACTAATAAGAAAATGATATATTTTAAATATTGCAGTAAATAGTGAGAATAAAGATATTTTTGAGAAGCTCATAGTAACATAGATCATATTATTTATAAACATACAGGGTGTTCCATTTGAAAAAACATAATTTTAGTTCATATTTTCAAAAATATTTTTTTCGCAGAAAACCAGACTACGCCGCTATATTCTACGTAAAATATTCTACAATAAACAGTTTTCACCTTCTCCATACCTTTCACAATAACAGAGATACAGGGGGTGTCCCATATTGCAAAATTTTCGAATAGGTCCTATAGCTCAGAAAATGGTGTTTGAAAATAGTAAGTAAAATTTATATAGGGGTGGTTTTTTTGGGGAAGTTTTCACCCTTCCTGTACTTTTTAAGAAAGTCAAGTGTTAAAGTGCTTAGCAATAATAAAAAAAATCTTACAAAACGTGTTTGTTTTTTAAAAGTGTTATATGCCATCTAATGGACAAACGAAGCACTTTTGCATAGAGGTGAATTGTATCCAATGAACTTATTTATATATTTCTACTCCAAACATACGTAATAATTCTATATCCACTGAATATTGAGACACCCTGTATAAAAAAGTTCAATACACTCACAAAAGTCTCTTTATTTAACTTCTTCGAGTTTTCTTTTTTATCACAGCACCACAGAACAACAGCGGATTTTCTTTTGCCTGTCTTTATTGCCTGGTAACATTTTACGAGCAAGACGATACCTAAGGGGGATGATTTTATGGGCAGCCAAGAAAAACTTTGTCTTGTTTTTTTAGATGCGGAGGCGGTAAAAACGTGCGTGACATCCCGATCGCTTTGTCCAAGAGGTTCGAAATCTACCCTCCTGAATACTTAATAGAATCGGTATTCTGGTTTTAGAGATGTTCTACTCGTTCATTAGTAAGAGCGTGGGATAAGCAAAGACTTTTAGGACTTTTAGAACGATTTCATGACTTAACAGAAGACTCTATGAACTTTTTGAAACGGGGTTATTATGTTTTAAACTTTATGTTTAAAAACATGTATTTTAAGCTCGATAAAGACACCATTTACTTGTTTAAAACCTTTGCCTTATATCTATCAAAAATAGTAGATAAAATAGTACTTTAACCGCAAGTGTAGATTAAATGATACTTTAACAGCGAGGATAGGTTGAAAACTTTATGTCTTCTCGTACGTTTTTTAATTGCTTCCATATTTGAAAATTTTTGTATTCCTTTTCATAAGTTATTCGGGATTTAAATGGAAGTGGTTTGGATATGGCGTTTGTCGCCTCATATCTGTTGGTAATTTACTGATTTAGTTTTGAGCCATTTCTGGCTCCAATTCAATCAGCAATCAACACGAAAGAGAATTAAAAAATATTGACTCAAAACTGACAACTAAAGAGACAGCTTTATTTATTTGTCAAATTACATAGAAACCATCGCCAACCCAGCACAATATTTTTATCTACTCTACCAAACCAAACACTCTATATATTAATTGATTTTCGGATCCTTGGAGAAAAATAAAGGTGAGTTTTATAAGAGAAGTATATGACTAAAACGTAAGGTTTTTGACATATTTAACATTTTCTAGAAATAGAGAACAATTTTTAAATTACAATAAAAGCTACCTAAATTGGAATTTACCCGGTATAGTCTAATATATAGACTACCTATTAATAGTGTCGGATATGTTTAGAATATTAACCTTGACATAATTCTTATCTATCCAATGTATCAATATAAACAAAACCCCAAATTATTTTAGGCTGATATTTTCAGAATACAAAGACAACCCTATAATCCATTCTTCCTTTCCTCCCGAACCCTATTAAGTCGTCCCTAAGGAAACGAACCTTACGCTAAATCGCCACAGCACAGAAAAAAAAGAGGAGGAAAATCTTGCTAGTCCCCCGGGGAGTCCCAAACTTTGGGACAAAACCCTGATGCGTAGCCCTACGAATGACAAGTTGATTTAAGGGACCTCTTTTGCTAGCGGCAAGGGCTAGATTAGTAGAGAGGAGAAGGGATAGCGTCTCATGGGAAAAGACCTGTTTCAAATAGATAGATATCCCTTTTTTGGACTGGGCAGGAAATTATATATTTAGACTAGTTTCTTTATTTATTTTTAAGTGAAATAAAATGTATTTTTAAAATAAACTAAAAGAAAAAAACAAGTTAATTGTGAAAGTTTTTTGAGCCCTTAAATGAAGATATTTCGACTTATAGTGATGGGAAAATGCAAGGCCAAGACCAACACTCCCGTGGTTTTGAGCATGATTTTGCAGTTAATCAGTACTCTTGGCCTTATGGCAAGACTTTTGCAAGTCATGCATTTTTTAAATAGATTTTTACTAGATTCACTTTCTACATAAAAAAATCTCTAAATAAATAGTATTTTTAGTAATTTATTACAAAAAAAAACATCTGAGAACTCCGTTCGGGTACCTCTACCCACGTACCGAGTTTGGTTTCAATTGACCCATAATTAAGAAAAATCCTGATGATTTTGTCCATTTAGAGGCATCGGTTCGAAACGTCGAAGTTATCTTGTAGCCTATCCCCAATCATGCTGAAATCCACCCACACTGTTCTTCAATGTCAAATCCTTAGTCCCACCTTTAGTCGTATCCAACTTTGCTGGGTGGGACCCTGTGCACCGTCGCAAATGTGAAAAAAAACAAGACCGTAAGAGCCGGTTAAAATCTTGCATGCTTGGTCTTGCCTGACCGTTCTTAGCCTTGCAGATCAAATAGTAATCTTGGTTGGTTGGTTGGTTTTGCTTTTGTGGACAAATAAGACAGCAAGACCAAGACAAGTCTTGCTCATCACTAGCGACTCATGAGACAATTGTAAATTAAAATTATCATAATACACCACGTTAAACTTAAGGAAACATCTAAAATTAAAAATTGAGCATCCTCCGGTAGCCACTGAACAACCCTAGAGACGTGATCACATCACGCTTTTAAGTCTGATATTAGGAATCACGATATCCTGCATTAGCTATTGCCACGAAATAATATAAAAATCGTGATCCAGTCACTGTTTTAAATCACTGAAATTAAAATATCACGGTATAATTTAACAATTATATTTAAAATTGAGGGTATCGTTCATCCCTAATTGTAACTCCTATACCTAATCACTCACTTTATAGATTGTCTCTTCGAACGAGTTCGGAGTGCCGCCGTTCATCTGCAGATGGCGCAGTCGATCATAATCCATGGGATCCACCATGGAACGCAGGACGGCGTGCTGGCCCAGATCTGACAGCCCTAAGCCGGATTGCAGGACGCTGTCAGGAGTGTCCACCTGCAAAAAAAAGCTTTGGTAAAATATTATAGACATACTGTGAAAAATTCACTGATTTCAAATTTATATTTCTATGTTCCAACTGAGATTTTTATCTGTTCTTGTATTCCTTTGAGATTTAAACACGCGACGGTCGAAGCAGGATTGGACGACAGTCAATGCCTTTTTCTGTTTTAGAGTTTTACTAATACAAAAAGATATAAGAGGCACTGTACTCACATCAAACTTTGAAAATGCACTTGGGTTGTTCTACCGGGTGTTTTTCAAAAGTGGTTCACCCCTATCCCTTTTTTATTTTTTCAGGTAAAAAAAATGCATTTGCTTGCAAAAACCTGTGTTAGAAACCAGTTTTTTAATTAAAATATGATTTACGTTACTACCTAATAATATTTACTACAGTAAAACTATTCGTATTATCCTTTGTCCTTAATGTTAATATTTTAGTAAAGCTTTTGATCAGCCTTTAACAGGAAAATTATTTCCAACAAAGCCCATTATCCTGTTTTATTTTTCATCGTTATCTTTTCGAAAATGAGCCACTAAGTAACCGAACTTTTTCCAAACTTTAATTTTTACACGGTGAGCGATCTCTAACCGAAAGATGATTAAAATCGAAGTGAAGAAATCTCCAGTATCAAAGCAGATAATGACAAAAGTTTCATCTTTGACCGCGTTTTAATTTTTAATAACCTCCCCCCTCCCGCCCTCATTATTGTGGAAACTTTAATGAAGCCGCTGTTGAAGGTTGGAAAATTTTAATTTTCTTTTATAGCAGCACCCATTTTTGTTTATAATTTCTTTACCGAAGTGGTGTTTCAACAAAACTAAAATTTTTACAGAGAATAGACAATATACGGTATCGATCATTCACAATGGCTAAAAAATACAATTAGAATTAATAGAATATCCAAGCAACAGCTTGCGGTAGTCGGTTGAATCCATAGAGAAAGCCTAATAGCTTATAAAACAATAAAAGTTTCAGTTCTAACCACAATTTTTTTTGACGGACGATAATCAAAGGCCCAAATGACATTACTCGCAAATTTGAAATATAATTATTAGTAGCAAAAGTTAAAATTTTGTTAACCTCTTTTTACAATGATTAAAGATAAAACTTCATTCAGAACCCCAAAATTAATGGGATAAATTAGTGGTTTCAATTAGCGTAGAAGTTTGTTCCTCTAATATCGATGTAAGCATTCACAACGTCAAAATTAGTGGTAGTAACCTTCAATTAGTGGAAAAAGTTAACAAACATTTGACTAATTATATATATAGAACATTTCCACTAACTATACTTCAAAATTTGCAAAGAATGTCATTTTGGCCTTTGATTATCAAGAGAAATTGTAGTTAGAAATCAAAACTTTATTGTTTTATAAGCTAAATATTAGGCTTTCTCTATGGATACAGCTAACTACAGCAATCTGTTGCTAGGATATTCTATTAATTTTAATTATGTTTTTAAGACATTGAGAATGATCGTAAACTAAAAAGTATAAAGTGTAATTGAAACCACTAATTTATTCCAATAATTGCGAGGCTCTAAAAGAAGCTTTACAGCCACTAATTTTGACGTTCTGAATACTTACATTGAAATTATGTAACAGTTAAATTTCATCGCTACGACCTCTGTGTGCTGACTCATAAATTATCGCAAATAACTATTATTTTTGCATCATGTTTACTATAATTTTATTGTTAAATATTATTTTATTTAAATTTTACGATTATGCAACCCGATATACACCGCGATATTATACAGCTACAGCTCCACAATATTGTCACTGAATGCCGCCCAGCATTAGAATTTTTGTCGACCTCTCTTTATTTTTGATATCACCTGTCCGTCACTGTCAGATTAAATCAGATGTTTTTGGATTAATTTATCCTTTGTTTTGGTTATTGAAATTTTATAATTATCAGATAAAATTTCGTAGTTAAATCGTTCATTTTTGATGTGGATCGCAGTGTGCAATTCGTTCATTTACTTGTGGGAATTTCTGAGTTAAGTTCGTTCATTCACCGGATATGGAAATATAGCTGTGGAAATTATTCTAGAACATCGTTTTTTATTTATGCCTTTTTGTGAGTTTGACTAGTCGAGATATATAGTTCTCTATCTATATCCTGGAGGGAGATTTCCGGTTGAAATCTGATTTTGTGAAGTAAATCGAATCCTTGCATCACTTCTTGTGTATCCATCGTCAGAATATCGTCGTGAAGAACTGGCTGCCGTTTCGTGAAGCATTCCCTGTTGATTAATAGCAGGTCTTCGTACAGAATGATTAAGGCTTCCGAAACACATTTGGTCAGAGACGTGGTTGGATTTTGATGATTTTTATGGACCGCCGACCAATTTCCGCAATGGGATTAAAATAGCCAAATTTTCTGACCGATATTCCGATTCCACGTGCCCAAGAAGTCCCAGAGAGTTCCAAGTTATGCTATAATTCTTCTGCCTATTCTAAGTCAATGCTCAACTGATTTTTATTCATATTGTTGACGGGTTTTCGGCTTTTCCACGCCCACGTGGTGTAGAAAGATTAGTTGAGTGTTATCTTTCTTAAATATTATTTGGTTGTTCGTAAGTGTAGAGCAAGAAAACCGATCCAGACCGTAGCACAGAACAGTCCAGAATTCCATCCCTTCCTGTTGTCCGTGTAGAGGTACCCGTTGGACATCATAAACCCTCGTTGAGGTAAAGTTCAGATCTGATTAGTCCTTCTTTATTACCTTTATTAACTCCTACACGTTGTGCTAGTCCTTGTTCTATAATTGAGGCTCTTTTCTAAAACAACCAATATTATTTAGGGTTTTTTTATGTTCACCTTTTGAAGTCCTACACCTGCTCGGCATCCATACGTCTGCTGACATCCGTGGGCTCCAGTGACATTCATCGGGCTGCTGTGCACACCGCCGTAGCAACCCTGTAGCTATACACCGTAGCTCAACCGGAGGAAGTTTTCAAGTATATCACATCGAGTAGAGTAAGTCTGTTTATATTTAGTTTGCTATTTGTATTCCGCCCTTAGAGCATACTTAGTTTAAGTTAAGGGGGATGACGTCTTAGATTTAATATAGCTTAGATCATTTTCATATTTTTAGTAATTCTTATCGATTTAAATTTCTTAACACATTTCATTCATTTCTTTATAAAATTTTAATATTTTAATAAATTACTTAATCATTTTTAGTAGTATTATTTACAGTCTAGTCTCATAGTTAAGTTAGAGTAACTTAAGTTCAAATAATTATAGTAAGATTTGAAGTTCATGGTAGTTGCACTCAACAGTTCGAGGTTAGTGTTGAAGTCTACTTAATAGTAACATCTTTTATGCCGAGTTCATAGAGTATAAACTCGCGGCGCCCTTTTATTAAGATCTTGAACCCCGACAACCCGGCTGGTAAAATTAAAAGCTAGTGGCCTATATGCAACTCATCCAGATTAAGTAAACTTTGTGTTTTATTGAACTTCAAATTAGAAAAGGACGCGGCAATTAGAAGAACAAGAGTTTTTAGGCTAATTGAAACCACTAATTTATTCTATTAATTTCGAGGTTTAGAATGAGAATTAAAACCTAAATAAATAAAATAAAGACGGTAAATAAAATAAAAGGTTTGAAAAAAATAATTTTTCAATAAATTCAAATTCAAATTCAAATTTCTTTATTAGACCCCATTAAGTTTTACAGAATAATATTAGTATTAATAAATGTGTGTCTAAAGGGATCACACCGCGATTAAAAAACCGATACAATGGCACAAAGTGCCAGAGTGGTGCGACCCCAAAATTAGGTTCACTTCACTTCATTTTATTCGCCTAGCAATAATATTACGAAATTAGTCGGGTCAGATAATAAATTATAAAATATGATTGATTGCCCGTTAACTAGAAACTCCAACTAATTTTACACAAAAGACTAAACAAATATTATACATGGTTACATTCGGACAACGACTGAATTAAGTAAAAATACAACAGTTTCAGGACAGACAAGCGAGGAGAAACAAAACAGCAGGAAAAAGGACGATAATATTTTTCAAATTTTCCGCATTTCCAACAATTATGTTCGTACGTGTTTTCCAGCACGATGCGAATTAACACGGAAAAACTGGAATGCGTTTTTTTCTCTTGTTGTGTATGCACGAAAAAATCGCGCATTAAATGAATAACGGAGTATTGCGCTAAACGTTTGTCTATATTTTAGGTTTAGATATTACTTTTAAACAGTTCTATGCCAAATGGATAATAGTATTTCTATATTTTTGAATTAGATTTTCATGTTCTATAAATTATACCGGGTGATAATGAAAGTCTGCTTGCTATTAAGTTGATTTTTATCGTGTTTGAAACTCGGATACTATATAAAAATTTACTTTTCCGAAGTGTTCATACCTTTATGGGATGGATTTTCAAAAACCCTTATCTTAGTGATTTCATACTTGTACAATTTTTCAAGTCTAATTTCATACCCTTACGGCGCGAATTTCCAAAAATCACTATTCAGTGCAGCTCGATTACGTCACTCTGTGTTTAGTTTCTTATTCATAGAACAGATTTTAAATACATTTTTTACAATTTTCTATCCTTAAACAGCCTCTATACTATCCCCGAAACATCTTGCAATTCTGGAAATACTTTCAGAAGTAAATTCAAATATAAGCTCGCGTTATAAAGGCTAGTTCCCACGTTTTCTGAAATAGATCGAAACGCGCCGCGATTAGTTGTTAATCTGGGTTAACAAAACGTGGGAACTAATTTTTATAACGCGAGCTTATATTTATCGCGAAGCAATCAAGGTCAAACGTTTTAGTGGCTTCATAAAAATAAGTAAAGATGGAGTATGAATAAATATCATTAATTTGTAATGGAGTGTAAAACAGCAAACACACTATCCCAGAAACAATCCGAAACATGTCAAGATCGCATTTCGTTTTATTTTGAGTTGTCTTGGCCCACTTCGCTTTGCCTCGACCTACCTTCGATTCTTAAAAGC